TTTCAACCAGCGCTATGGGCTGAGTGCATGTCAACTTCACACAACAGCATGAAGTTAACTACACAACAATATCTGATTTTTCAACCAGCGCTATGGGCTGAGTGCATGTCAACTTCACACAAAAGCAAGAAGTTAATTACAAAACAATATCTGAATTTTCAACCAGCGCTATGGGCTGAGTGCATGTCAACTTCACACAAAAGAAAGAAGTTAACTACACAACAATATCTGAATTTTCAACCAGCGCTATGGGCTGAGTGCATGTTAACTTTACCCACAAGCTAAAAGTTAACTACACAACAATATCTGAATTTTCAACCAGCGCTATGGGCTGAGTGCATGTCAACTTCACACAAAAGAAAGAAGTTAACTACACAACAATATCAGATTTTTCAACCAGCGCTATGGGCTGAGTGCATGTCAACTTCACACAACAGCATGAAGTTAACTACACAACAATATCTGATTTTTCAACCAGCGCTATGGGCTGAGTGCATGTCAACTTCACACAACATCAAGAAGTTAACTACACAACAATATCTGATTTTTCATCCAGCGCTATGGGCTGAGTGCATGTCAACTTCACACAACATCAAGAAGTTAACTACACAACAATATCTGAATTTTCAACCAGCGCTATGGGCTGAGTGCATGTCAACTTCACACAAAAGCAAGAAGTTAACTACACAACAATATCTGATTTTTCAACCAGCGCTATGGGCTGAGTGCATGTCAACTTCACACAACATCAAGAAGTTAACTACACAACAATATCTGATTTTTCAACCAGCGCTATGGGCTGAGTGCATGTCAACTTCACACAACATCAAGAAGTTAACTACACAACAATATCTGATTTTTCAACCAGCGCTATGGGCTGAGTGCATGTCAACTTCACACAAAAGAAAGAAGTTAACTACACAACAATATCTGAATTTTCAACCAGCGCTATGGGCTGAGTGCATGTCAACTTAACACAAAAGCAAGAAGTTAACTACACAACAATATCTGATTTTTCAACCAGCGCTATGGGCTGAGTGCATGTCAACTTCACACAACATCAAGAAGTTAACTACACAACAATATCTGATTTTTCAACCAGCGCTATGGGCTGAGTGCATGTCAACTTCACACAAAAGCAAGAAGTTAACTACACAACAATATCTGAATTTTCAACCAGCGCTATAGGCTGAGTGCATGTCAACTTCACACAACATCAAGAAGTTAACTACACAACAATATCTGATTTTTCAACCAGCGCTATGGGCTGAGTGCATGTCAACTTCACACAACATCAAGAAGTTAACTACACAACAATATCTGATTTTTCAACCAGCGCTATGGGCTGAGTGCATGTCAACTTCACACAAAAGAAAGAAGTTAACTACACAACAATATCTGATTTTTCAACCAGCGCTATGGGCTGAGTGCATGTCAACTTCACACAAAAGAAAGAAGTTAACTACACAACAATATCTGAATTTCCAACCAGCGCTATGGGCTGAGTGCATGTCAACTTCACACAAAAGCAAGAAGTTAACTACACAACAATATCTGATTTTTCAACCAGCGCTATGGGCTGAGTGCATGTCAACTTCACACAACATCAAGAAGTTAACTACACAACAATATCTGATTTTTCAACCAGCGCTATGGGCTGAGTGCATGTCAACTTCACACAAAAGAAAGAAGTTAACTACACAACAATATCTGATTTTTCAACCAGCGCTATGGGCTGAGTGCATGTCAACTTCACACAAAAGCAAGAAGTTAATTACAAAACAATATCTGAATTTTCAACCAGCGCTATGGGCTGAGTGCATGTTAACTTTACCCACAAGCTAAAAGTTAACTACACAACAATATCTGAATTTTCAACCAGCGCTATGGGCTGAGTGCATGTCAACTTCACACAAAAGAAAGAAGTTAACTACACAACAATATCAGATTTTTCAACCAGCGCTATGGGCTGAGTGCATGTCAACTTCACACAACAGCATGAAGTTAACTACACAACAACAATTTCTGATTTTTCAACCAGCGCTATGGGCTGAGTGCATGTCAACTTCACACAAAAGCAAGAAGTTAATTACAAAACAATATCTGAATTTTCAACCAGCGCTATGGGCTGAGTGCATGTCAACTTCACACAAAAGAAAGAAGTTAACTACACAACAATATCTGAATTTTCAACCAGCGCTATGGGCTGAGTGCATGTTAACTTTACCCACAAGCTAAAAGTTAACTACACAACAATATCTGAATTTTCAACCAGCGCTATGGGCTGAGTGCATGTCAACTTCACACAAAAGCAAGAAGTTAATTACAAAACAATATCTGAATTTTCAACCAGCGCTATGGGCTGAGTGCATGTCAACTTCACACAAAAGCAAGAAGTTAACTACACAACAATATCTGATTTTTCAACCAGCGCTATGGGCTGAGTGCATGTCAACTTCACACAACATCAAGAAGTTAACTACACAACAATATCTGATTTTTCAACCAGCGCTATGGGCTGAGTGCATGTCAACTTCACACAAAAGAAAGAAGTTAACTACACAACAATATCTGATTTTTCAACCAGCGCTATGGGCTGAGTGCATGTCAACTTCACACAAAAGCAAGAAGTTAATTACAAAACAATATCTGAATTTTCAACCAGCGCTATGGGCTGAGTGCATGTTAACTTTACCCACAAGCTAAAAGTTAACTACACAACAATATCTGAATTTTCAACCAGCGCTATGGGCTGAGTGCATGTCAACTTCACACAAAAGAAAGAAGTTAACTACACAACAATATCAGATTTTTCAACCAGCGCTATGGGCTGAGTGCATGTCAACTTCACACAACAGCATGAAGTTAACTACACAACAATATCTGATTTTTCAACCAGCGCTATGGGCTGAGTGCATGTCAACTTCACACAAAAGCAAGAAGTTAATTACAAAACAATATCTGAATTTTCAACCAGCGCTATGGGCTGAGTGCATGTCAACTTCACACAAAAGAAAGAAGTTAACTACACAACAATATCTGAATTTTCAACCAGCGCTATGGGCTGAGTGCATGTTAACTTTACCCACAAGCTAAAAGTTAACTACACAACAATATCTGAATTTTCAACCAGCGCTATGGGCTGAGTGCATGTCAACTTCACACAAAAACAAGAAGTTAATTACAAAACAATATCTGAATTTTCAACCAGCGCTATGGGCTGAGTGCATGTCAACTTCACACAAAAGAAAGAAGTTAACTACACAACAATATCTGAATTTTCAACCAGCGCTATGGGCTGAGTGCATGTTAACTTTACCCACAAGCTAAAAGTTAACTACACAACAATATCTGAATTTTCAACCAGCGCTATGGGCTGAGTGCATGTCAACTTCACACAAAAGAAAGAAGTTAACTACACAACAATATCAGATTTTTCAACCAGCGCTATGGGCTGAGTGCATGTCAACTTCACACAACAGCATGAAGTTAACTACACAACAATATCTGATTTTTCAACCAGCGCTATGGGCTGAGTGCATGTCAACTTCACACAACATCAAGAAGTTAACTACACAACAATATCTGATTTTTCAACCAGCGCTATGGGCTGAGTGCATGTCAACTTCACACAAAAGAAAGAAGTTAACTACACAACAATATCTGATTTTTCAACCAGCGCTATGGGCTGAGTGCATGTCAACTTCACACAAAAGCAAGAATTTAATTACAAAACAATATCTGAATTTTCAACCAGCGCTATGGGCTGAGTGCATGTTAACTTTACCCACAAGCTAAAAGTTAACTACACAACAATATCTGAATTTTCAACCAGCGCTATGGGCTGAGTGCATGTCAACTTCACACAAAAGCAAGAAGTTAATTACACAACAATATCTGAATTTTCAACCAGCGCTATGGGCTGAGTGCATGTCAACTTCACACAACATCAAGAAGTTAACTACACAACAATATCTGATTTTTCAACCAGCGCTATGGGCTGAGTGCATGTCAACTTCACACAACAGCATGAAGTTAACTACACAACAATATCTGATTTTTCAACCAGCGCTATGGGCTGAGTGCATGTCAACTTCACACAAAAGCAAGAATTTAATTACAAAACAATATCTGAATTTTCAACCAGCGCTATGGACTGAGTGCATGTTAACTTTACCCACAAGCTAAAAGTTAACTACACAACAATATCTGAATTTTCAACCAGCGCTATGGGCTGAGTGCATGTCAACTTCACACAAAAGAAAGAAGTTAACTACACAACAATATCAGATTTTTCAACCAGTGCTATGGGCTGAGTGCATGTCAACTTCACACAACAGCATGAAGTTAACTACACAACAATATCTGATTTTTCAACCAGCGCTATGGGCTGAGTGCATGTCAACTTAACACAAAAGCAAGAAGTTAATTACAAAACAATATCTGAATTTTCAACCAGCGCTATGGGCTGAGTGCATGTCAACTTCACACAAAAGAAAGAAGTTAACTACACAACAATATCTGAATTTTCAACCAGCGCTATGGGCTGAGTGCATGTTAACTTTACCCACAAGCTAAAAGTTAACTACACAACAATATCTGAATTTTCAACCAGCGCTATGGGCTGAGTGCATGTCAACTTCACACAAAAGAAAGAAGTTAACTACACAACAATATCAGATTTTTCAACCAGCGCTATGGGCTGAGTGCATGTCAACTTCACACAACAGCATGAAGTTAACTACACAACAATATCTGATTTTTCATCCAGCGCTATGGGCTGAGTGCATGTCAACTTCACACAAAAGAAAGAAGTTAACTACACAACAATATCAGATTTTTCAACCAGCACTATGGGCTGAGTGCATGTCAACTTCACACAACATCAAGAAGTTAACTACACAACAATATCTGATTTTTCAACCAGCGCTATGGGCTGAGTGCATGTCAACTTCACACAACATCAAGAAGTTAACTACACAACAATATCTGATTTTTCAACCAGCGCTATGGGCTGAGTGCATGTCAACTTCACACAAAAGAAAGAAGTTAACTACACAACAATATCTGATTTTTCAACCAGCGCTATGGGCTGGGTGCATGTTAACTTTATACAAAAGCAAGAAGTTAACTACACAACAATATATGATCTTTCAACCAGCGCTATGGGCTGAGTGCATGTCAACTTAACACAAAAGCAAGAAGTTAACTACACAACAATATCTGATTTTTCAACCAGCGCTATGGGCTGGGTGCATGTTAACTTTATACAAAAGCAAGAAGTTAACTACACAACAATATATGATCTTTCAACCAGCGCTATGGGCTGAGTGCATGTCAACTTCACACAACAGCATGAAGTTAACTACACAACAATATCTGATTTTTCAACCAGCGCTATGGGCTGGGTGCATGTTAACTTTACACAAAAGCAAGAAGTTAACAAAGAAGAAGTTAATAAACCAGATTGGGTTCAATAAACCAGATGGGGTTCAATAAACCAGATGGGGTACAATAAACCAGATGGGGTACAATAAAGCACATTGGCTGCAGTAAACAAGAAAACTGTAATAAACCATGAAATTGCTGAAGAACTGATTTCAAGGTTGGATCAAGAAAGATGTGTTACCACACTGGCAATAGATTGACAAACTACATCATCTACTGGTGTCACCAGGATAAAAGAAAGAAGGGGCGGGCCAAGAAAATCTCAAAGAGATGAACAGAAAAAGATGAAGAAAGATTCAGAAGCAAGATCTGGATTGGGTTGGCTCTGAAAAGCTCTAGTCAATGTTCTTTTCAGACAGCAAGTCTAACTGTCAAGTAGAACTCTAAAACCTCTGGTACAACGATTTGGGTTTTAAAGCAATGTGAGTGATAGCAAAGTGTAAAATGATTGTATTTGAAAAAATTTGCAAGTGTGTGAGTTTTTGTGACCAGTTTTTAAAGCTGATTATGTATGTCTTCTAAAGTAGTGCAGGTGAATTGTGAATCTTAGAAAATCTGAACATTGTCCTATGTGTTAAACAAAACTAAGGCTAGAACAATATTACAGGTTTCTCAAACATTTGACATTGTGAATTTGTCAGCCAATTTCAATCCGTTATCCTTGGTCAAATAATTTTTCTCCCATAGCTTCAGAGTCCTGTAGAATAAAGTAAAAAGAGTAGAAATAAATAAACAATATAAAAGCTTTAAATATGTAAATATATATATATATATATATATATATATATATATATATGTATATATATATATATATATATATATATATATATATATATATATATATATATATATATATATATATAGTTATATTTATATATATATATATATATATATATATATATATATATATATATATATATATATATATATATATACAGAGAGAGAGAGAGAGAGAGATTTAGAGATATATAGATATATAGATATATATAAATTAACGTGTGTTAGTTTGTTTGTGGGTTTGCCCTTTATGCATTACTACACCTTTCATCCTATCACTATGAAACTTTGGGACGTTGTTGAGAGTACTCCTGGAGAGGCTTCTGTGGGAAAAAAAATTAATTTTGCAAGGGCAGTACCCCAGCAGGACAGGATTTAATTCTTCTCTAAAAACAGTATATGTAAAAACAAAGTTGGATACTGTTTAACACCTTTCATCCAATCGCATGTATGTTTGGGGAGTTGAAAAGAATACTCTAGGGGAGGTTTTTGCAAAATATCTTTTTTTAATTTCGCAAGGGCAGCTGCCCTGTGAGGATTAGATTTTTCTCTATACAGTTCCTATAGTATATAAAAAAGATGGATACAGTTTAACAATGTTCATCCAAGTGCCGTGAAACTTTGGGGAGTTGATGCGAGCAGATATCTGCAGAAAAATAAAATGTTATGAGCAGTGACAGAGAGGGTACTATTTTTCAGTTGTAAAACTGCAACAGGCCCAGATGCACAAAAAACCTAATAAATTAATGAAATATACTTGAGTGAAATGTTAAATCAGCCAATGCAGACTACTCAGTCATGCCAGGTCGACCAGGCATGAGACAGGTTGATGAGTAATATTTTAGGCAGAAATCTTTATAAAAAATGTAATTAAATCCTGATTAGTAAATAATGAATCAAATTTTTACTTACGATGAAAGCGCCTTATTCTTCTGGATTCTCTGATATCAACATCTAACCTGTGTTGGTTCACATGCACATCAGAAGGCAGAGGTGTGCCCAGAAAAAGTGGATGTTGAATCTGATAGTCTAGCTCTGTCTGATCAATATCATCATGTAACAACTGGAACGACTGAAAATTAAAATGATATATCTAAGTAAAGTACATGTTAAATCAAATTTTAAAGCAAAAGCCATTCAATATAATATGTAAATGAATAATAAATACACAGAAATTTAACTGACAATAAATGATCATTTTTAAAGTATATAAGAATATAGATTATCTGCACTGCAATCCATTGTCGTGGCAATTTGATAATGATCAGTATTTTAACATAGTTATGATACTCATTTTTTAAAATATTAATAGCGGTGGAGTGAGTTTTCAGCAACTCTATTGTTTGTAATTTTATTTTAACAGTAAAGGTTTGGTATACCTTTTCCAGTGCAATCAGCTATCGAAGTTTGCTAGAGGCAAAAAGATCATGAGAATATGATATAAATTTATCAAATTCTTATGGTTTTTGAGAAACTGATAATGGTGTAAGATACCCCTTCTTGTTACCAGAAATTACTAAAGAGTTGATATATAAATCTACGTTCAGGAGATAATACTTGTCAGCCCCATTTCATCCACCTGAAACTACTTAAGTAATCTGTAGTTTAGAAACTGAAAATAAAGTACCTTTTCCAGATATTGGAGGTTACTCAAAAATTAAAAGTAATCTTATTATTAGATCTTTAACTAACTGAACAGTACTGAAGTACCAATATTAAGTTAAGTACTAATTCTGGTTGCCCAAAATTGGTTCAAAAGTTTACAGAAACATGTGCATGTTTGTGAAATTTTTTACACCTAACTTTAATGGTACTCAAGTTATCAGCTTTTAAAATACTTATGGTTAACGGAAATAGTTATAAAGTTGATAATAATAATAAGAAGAGGAAGAAAACTATTTTAAAACAGTAATGACAGTAGGCAAGAAGGCTTTTTTCACATTGGCCGTTATTTACAAAGATATTAATGACTTTTATATTATACCATTAGAATATTAAAGACATAATAGTAAAATAGCATTTAAAATGTGGAATAAAGAAATAAATAACGGAATAGAATTACAATGTTGCAGTGACTTAGTTAAGGAGGACATGAAATATTTTTTGTTTATAGATTTGTTTTGAATATATTTTAGTTACATATAATTGTATTGTATTAGGAAGATTGTTCCACAAATTGGCACCAGAGTAGGAAAAGCTATGTCTTTAGAAAAAAGTGGAAGTTGGATGAGTAAATTAAGACTGACTTAATTTTGTGTTTTAAAAAAATAGATCTTATAAGTAAGAAGATCAATTTGTGAAAAAAAAGTTTATAGAAAAGTTGCTATAGTATATATTATTTTTTATCTATTGCAAGAATATTAGTTTTAATGAAACAATTTAAACTTCTAGATAAGTCACTAGACTTATGGCCCTTTTTTCTAATATCAAGAGAGGATGCTGTTTGATTATGAAGCTGCCACTCAAGACTATAGAAGCATAATCTATACTAGATTGTATGAAACCATTGTAGAAAATTAATATGCTATTATAATTAACAAAATGTTTATACTAGCTAGTTGGAAAGTAGTTTTTATTAAAGACATTTAAAGAAGTTGAATATGATCGGACTAGGTTAGTGATCACTAACTAACCCTAGGATTTTGTACACTTTGAGATTAGTTTATTTTCTGTAGTAATATGTAATTAAGTGGATGAGTGATCAACAACTCTATCAGACTTTGTTCTCTAGGGGGAGGGGGCATTTGTAAATTAACGGGAGGGCGATGGGGGAAACAATGTTAAAAGTATATATTTTTTATCTTAAATTCTATTTTATAAGTTTTTGATGTGTAGCAATGGGCACTGACTTGGTTTTTTCAAGGTGGAGATAAATTTTATTCATTTTTATCCAACTGACATGCTTAGGCGTACATTGACGTTTAGGATTGAAAACTACAAATAGGATATAACTGAAAAGTACTCAAGTTATTATGCAGGCACATGCACACACATACACAGACAGACAGACAAGATAACAAAAGAAAGTATCTCTTGGCTGATGGAGGTGTGAAATCTCGCGATTTGTGAAAAATCTTAATTTTGTTTTTTTTTGTACAATACTTTTGTTATGATACTTCCTCTATACACTATATATACTAGAAGGTAAAAATTAAAGATGTACAAGAATTTGAACACAAGTGATAGACAGGTAGAACGATGAAATCCTTACCTCCTGATAGATTGGTCCATGATGTTCTACTGAGGGCAAGATCTCTGGCACTTCTTGGGGTGGCTGAAGGGTTGAATACACCTCCAAGACTGGCAAGAAAACTTGCTCCGGCCTTTCCTGTGATCGTTGCAAGAAATATGGCTGTGATCTATCATGTGATCGAAGCAAAGAATCGGATAAAGATCTCTTGAACCTGGGAAAAAGATTTTGGAAGGATCTCTCAGCTAGTAAGACATTTGATCTTGATGCTGAAGCAGAAGAAGATCTCTCAAGTCTAGGAAAGGATGTATTGGATCTCCCTTCTGATCTTTGCAAGAATTCAGATCTACCCTGTGTGACTGGCAATGCATCTGCTGGCTGAGCTGACAGTACTAAACCATGTGCCTCAAAACTTGTATTATGAGATACAACTGGCTGCGGTACTTGTTGAAGGTCAAGATTTCTGTCCCTTACTGCCTCAGACGAACCATTCTAAAAATCAAAACATTAAAAAAAAAACTACTATCTTAGCAAATTGTGAAATATAATTAACAAAGTTTAAAAAAAAAAAATCTGTTTAATTTTCACCAATAATTTTACTTTACCCATGACCCAAAGATCAAATATCCTGGTTTCAAGTATTGGTCAGTTGAACACTAATTATATTTTACTGTCATAAACAGTAAAAAATTTTAAAAGATTGGAAATATAAATAAACATTTAACAAAGCATTTTAATGTCTGATAGGATTACATTATAAATACTGAATACTTTCAACTGAGAATAAAATCTATATGAATGAATAAGTAGCTAGCACCTCAAAAATAAAAAGGAGATTTAGTATATCAATTTTGGTATTTGGTGGTTTCCTAACTTTATTTATTATGTGCTCACATAGTTGTGGAAGTTTTTTTTTAATTAAATTTTAAAGTTTTTTAATGTGCTTTTAAATGAAGCCAACTAATATTTTTAAAATACTTTGCTGTAAATTACAAATTTCACGGAATAAATTTTTAGATAGTTTTAATTAAATATAACTTTAATTACTCAGGGACTATTGATCTTAGCTCATACTTAATTACATTCCTTGGGTAATTGTATGTACAAAAGGTTTTGTATGGGATCTGTGTTTAGCTTTAGCAAGAAATTACATACTGAAGTTTTTGTATAAGGTCTTTGTTTAGCATGAAATATGTATATACAGAAGGTTTGTATGGGGTCTGTGTTTAGCAAAAATATGTATGTACAGAAGGTTGTGTATGGATTCTGTGTTTAGCAAGAAATATGTATGTACTGAAAGTTTTGTATGGATTCTGTGTTTAGCAGGAAATTATGTACTTAAGGTTTTGTATGGGGTCTGTGTTTAGCGTGAATTATGTATGTAATGAAAGTTTTGTATAGGGTCTGTGTTTAGCGTGAATTATGTATGTAATGAAAGTTTTGTACAGGGTCTGTGTTTAGCGTGAATTATGTATGTACTGAAAGTTTTGTATGGGGTCTGTGTTTAGCATGAAATTATGTACTAAAAGTTTTGTATGGGGGTCTATGTTTAGCATAAAATATGTTTGTACAGAAGGTTTCATGTTTACATGAATTGTTTGCAGTATAATAGATAAAGAACTGGATTACTGACCTCAGGCAGAAAATTATGGGATGGGTGGTTATTTTTTCAACTTAAACATAATTACTTCATTAGCAGAGCCTGGCAGTAAGTGAGAAGACTTGGGTCTATCAACATCCCATAATGCTCCGTCCACTTCTCTGAGTGAAGCCTCACACAAGGGGGACACGTCAGCTGAAGTGACCTTTGCAGGGCCGGGGCTGTCAGTCTCAATCTTGAAGGATATTAATAGCACCAATGATTTAATTAGGAGAATTTAATTAGGAGAATTTAATTAAATCCAAGCTAAGACAAAACCTGTGTCTTAGCTTAGTAAGATAAACCATTTTGGGCTGTTACCAAAGATTGTGTAGCAATCGACAGATTGCGCGTCATACTGACACATTTATCTCTTATACATTTCATAATCTTGCAATAGATTATTCAAATTTATAATTGTATACAGCCTAATGAAATCATTATTTACAAATAAACTAAAGACACTAAATGAGTTATTTAATGTACAGAGTTACAGGTTAGTGAACACCTCCAGATTAAGCAGATTTCCTTCTTGAATTTATGATTAAAACCTGACATAACATTTTATTCTTAGATCAACTAACAAAAGTGGTGATTTGGAGATAACATAGATTTAAGTAATATGTACCTCATCTTTGGCTGATAGAGTATTAAATTTTCCTGGCCAAAGAAATGTTTCCCAAACCCACTGTGAGGTTTTGTCATTTAAGTCTTGGCTTGATCCAACTTTGCTGGCTGCTGCTTCCTGCAGAAGTTCCCCATCTACAGCATCCCCCTCACCCACACCTGGCTCAAGTGACACAGGGAAAACATCATCCTCACTGGTGCCGGAGCCATAGGGAGTGTGACCAGCATCCTTCACATTTCCTTGCCATGAGTTGAGGCTTTCCAGATCCTCAGAAAAAGAAACCAAAGCATTGGACAGATCTTCAGCAGAAGAAACCAAAGATGTCACATCTAACAAATCAAGCAAGTCTGTCACATCATTGCTGAAAGATGGGCTCAGAAACTGAAAGAAAACACAAATGAAAATTCAATAATTTTTTGGACATTTTAAAAGAGAACAGCAGTTTTTAATAATTAGCTGGCAAATTTGTATCAACTATTTTTTAATTGTAGCCAACATAATTATTAAGCTAATAAACAATACTTTTCTCCATCATCAAATATTAAAAAGTAACTATAATGATCATTTCTGAAAACTAAATATAACCATTAATGTAGAACAATTTAAACAATAAAGCAAATTTCCTTATTAATTATTTAGTTAGACTAGTATTATTTGTTTTGTTTAACTAATTGTTTAGCTTCAGAATTGGGAATTTTAGTTAGACTTAGTGCAATATTTTTATTTGCTGCCATAATAATAGTTGGGAAAATCTGTTATGATAAAACCAACAACACTAGTACAAATGTGAGGCTGGACATGTGTCTGTGCTTGTAAACAATGCTTTACAGTGTGATGCATTTGATCCAGTTTTCAAGTATAATAGCACATTTCACCCCCTTTAATTATATAATGAAATCTTTTCCAAATTTCTAACCACGGCTCCCTACAACAGCTATTTTTTTTTTATCAGATAGAATTCTATGAATAAAGCAATTTAATATTGCTTTATGGTGTTTTATAGTAAATTTTTCATTAACAGTTGTTAAATGCATCAACAGCTTTACTATGAACCTACAAGTAACAAAAGATCTTTTTAAAAATGTATGATGTAGAAAGCAAAAGCAAACATGCTTTTCTGGTAAATGTTTGTGTATATAAGTATAAATAATATACAACTTTTAGTTGAAAGATTCATTTATTTATGCAAATATTACATTGTAGTACTTAATAAACACCAAAGGAAAAATTTTAAGTCGAACTATGTCCAGGCATACACTGCTGTTGGTGATAAAGTTTACAGCAGATATTTAAGTAGGACTGTAACGCTATTGATACAGAGATGTATCCACCCGCCTAATGAAAAAGCAGAATTTTCTCACCCTATTCACAGTATTTCTACATTTTTTAAAACACATTACTGTTGGCCTAGAGTCCTATTATTTTGTTAACCTGACACTATATTAATGATTTAATAACTACCTTTAACATTCATCATATGTGTCCAAACAAGTCCAACCTAAGACGATGTAGATTTTTTTAGCAATTAATGTTAAAATTATACATTTAAATAATCAGGCTAGTTGAATTGAAACAAGCTGTAGGCCTATAGGAATGTACTAGCTAGGTCACATCTGGGGCGCATCATAAGAAGTAGATTAGAGGTGATTTATGTTTATGAAAAATGTGGTCAGTGGAAAAATATCTGTAGACAGTTTTCATCAATTAAAAATCTCTGTTGATAATAGTTGCTTATAAAAAAATTGATGAGAAATAGGCAAACATAGGCTATAAATTCATTATTGTAGATGATACAAAAATAAAACATACGTTAGCACAGGTCCAGTTGGGGTCACAAGTTTCTGCATTTGTCTCCCCTACACAAACATTTGTGTCTGCTGGAACTTCAGAAAACTGTGAGTCATATACACTTGCTGGTGATGCCTAAAATAAAAGGTAATTAAAATAAATGATCGTCAGTTTTAAAATTTTAACTGTTTTCATCAATCTAATCAGCATATAAGATAAGCCTGATGTTCTAAAGTGCAGATGAATTCAGCTGTTTATTTTTTACATGATCCAATGTGTAAGGTAGATCATGGGGTAAATTGTGTCCATGCAGAATTAGTCTTTTAATGAATAATAATCTTCTATAGCCACACATTACTGTGGTTCACACTGAATCAGGTGGATTCTACTTCACCTGCCCCACAGACCATCAGGTTTGAGGGGTACTTTTTTTCAACGTTACAGACCTAATTGATACCCTTATGAGTAGTTACATTAATGCAAACCAAAAGGAAAATGGAGCTGAAATTTTAATTAAATGAATTTAATCCTTGGACCTGTAAACAATAGAATGGCAAATCATTGAGAGGAAATGGCAAAGGGTTGGGCACACGCTTAGGAAGGACATTGGCAATAGAAACAGACGGTGGAACCTCGAGGTCAAGTGATGCAGGGGTCAAACCAGGAAGACATGACAACATAGCATGCTAGAGGAGGCTGAAAGGATAGGAAGGAACTGGGAACAGCTGAAAAGAGTGGCAGGAGACTGTGGGGGAGTGGAAAGATTTGACTCATGCCCTAAGTTCTGCAAAGAACAAAAAAGGAAAAATGATGATGATTATGATAATGAATAATTGGACCAGGAAATGAAAAGTTAAAACAAAGAAACTGAATTTTTGCTGATATTGATTCTTAAAGATTAAAAGCCAGAGTTTATTTTCTTTTAAAACTAATTTTGTTACACCTTACAAGACTTGATGTATACAAAAATAATCTGTAACTGTTTCAAGACAACAGTAGCACTAATTTTAGGTCAAAATCATACAATTCTGAACAAAATCATACAAGGTAGCCTTGTGGCACTCATCAGAGCTGGGTAGATCCAGGGTGGTTATAGAGTCTTTAGCAAACTCTGGCTTTTCTATTCGATTGTAGGAAAAAAAGTCACAGGAAAAAAAAACACAGGAAAAAAAACACAGAAAAAAAGTCACAGGAAAAAAAGTCACAGGGAAAAACGTCACAGGAAAAAAAGTCACAAATATATATTTGCATGATATTTGTTAATACTTTTATGTATTAAATATTTAGAGAGTGCAAATTAACTTGGATTAATTAAATGTAATGTAATGTGTGTAGGCTGTATATGCATAGGAATTTTTATAATTCATCTTAAAATATTTATTATGAAGTATGTAGATTGTAATTATTTTAAACTTAAGATTTGTAGCATTTAATAGAATGCTCCAAAGCTCTCGTTTTTCATCGTGGTTTTTTTTTTTAAATACCAATATTAAATTACCATGAAATGGTAAGTTCATCTGACTTGCTGCCCTCAACTCATGGCAACAATAGTTATGTTTAGTTCAACCACCTTTACTGCCCACATTTATCACGCTCATTACATAACAAAACTGAGGATCAAAACAGAAAGCAGACAAGGTTCAAAGGCTGTCATTGACGCAAAACGTCAACAACACCAAATATGTTTGGACAATGCCTACTGGGGAGAGGCCGACCAGAGAATAGCCTATGGCAAAATGTGCCTAAATTTCTTTTATAATTAACTTTTCTACCGCATATTTAACTAAATACGTAACAAAAGTTGAGATTGTTGTGTTAATTATCTTAGAGTATTTTTACTTATAATTGTTATAAATCATAAAGCTTTTAACGTCTATAAATAATTTTTGCTATCAAAAAATACAACCCACAACAATAAACATACACAATTTTACAATTCTCAACAAATTAATAAAAATATTTCTAAAAAGATTTTTGTGACTTTTTTTCTGTGACTTTATTTCTGTGACTTTTTTCCGATAAAATTTTCCACTGTGACTTTTTTTCTGTGACTTTTTTTCCTAGCAAAAGCTGTGACTTTTTTTCCGTTCACCTTTCTATTCACCCTAACTATTTCTTAAATCGGACCATAATTAAGAATATCTAAACAAATAAATAACAAAATGAATACCACCCTTGAACCATGATTTTTAAATAATTAAAAATGGTCATGTTATAGGCAGCATAATAATATAAGAATAATTAACATGGGTTACCTGTTCCAATTTGCAAGTGTCCTCAAAAGTATTTAACGCTGATTGAAAAAATTGTTTTTTCTCCTCATCCTTAAGCCACTGTCCAGCTGGAGGTAAGTCTACATTTGTCATCTGATTTTCTCTCCAGGCAAAAGATTCACTGTTAATTTGTGGCACTGTCTGACTTGAATCAACAACTGCTCTCTGCAGGAAGGAGTCATCAGGGCCCAAAAACTCACTGATACTAGTCATGTTAGAACCACCATCTAGATAAGCTTCACTGTAGTGATCATTCTCTGGAGGCATCTGCAAATGTGGGAAAAGAAGGAAAGTAAGAATTTACTATACTTTAAAATACAAGTCGCTCATTTGTAATTAATGTTTAGTTTTGAACAAAAATAGCATTGAACTAAGAAATACATAGTATATAAACCATGCAGTCAAAAAAAATACATAACTAACAACAAAATTTAATTAAACAAAATTTAATTAAACAAAATTAACTTGTCTCAAACAATTGTCCATTTTTTAAAATATTTATGAAACTTCACCAAAAAAAAAAATCAGGACTGTCAAGTTACCACTCCGAAGCAGACAGTCAATAGGGACTCAATTTTTGGGTTAACAGCCATGTGCCCTAGAGCCTAATTATGCCAGACCATCAAGCTAATTAAGGTTTTAGGTGCTTTGACCACAGGTACTTTGACCATTGGGGCTTTGACCACAGCTGCGGTTTGACCCCAAGAGCTTTGTGCATAAGTGCTTTGTAATTTTTATAATAGTAATAATAAACCGTTATTTCATGGAAATTCATGATGCAATTAATAAAATTTTATATGACCAGATTTATTTGCACTGCCATCAATAGAAATGAACATGTATTTGAGAAGTTAATAACAGTAAAAACAAATAAACAACAAGTAAAACGCTTCACAAATAAATAATGTATCTAATAAATTATTAAGTGAGACAGAGTGGCCTAGCGGTAGAGAGCTGGACTGCTAACCCATACATCTTGAGTTCGAATCTGGGTTCAAGTCAATAGACAGACCCTGAGTCCATCCAACTCTGATGGGTACCTAACTCACATTAGGGTAAGTAAAACCATCATAAGCCGAGGTCACAGAAACAAGTGAACTCTCCTTCACTGTCAGGTTTGAAAAGAAACTTTACTTTACTTAATAAATTATTAAACAAAGCATGCCAATAATATAGTCAAAAAAGAAATATTTGTAAGATTAACTAAATGACAGATGTGTAATAGCAAACAAATATGTCAGTGCATCTGTTGATTCTTAGGTAACAAAATGGTAAAAAAATACATTTTATTAATTATATTTAAAAAACGATGGAAGACATTTGCATCGAGATTTTTATTTAATGGACTGCTGCAACTTTTGACTAAAGTGGTCTAGTTGATTTTATCTCTTGTTAAGTTAATCTGTACAATGTATGGACAAAGCTCCTTTGACCTAACCCCAGCTGTGGACAAAGCACCTGGGGTCAAATACCTTGCTGTGGTCAAACCACTATGGTCAGAGTACCTGTGGTCAAGATAGCTCATATAGTTTTAGCCCAAAGAAACATATATGTATTGTTACTAGAAAGTAAAGAAAGGTATCAAAGAATATTTTACTTAACAATTTTTTAGTTATCATAAACTTACAAAATAATCAAATGTTGTTTGTGGCATATCTTGCAGAGAATTCTGGAAGGAAATTTCAGCAGAAATAGGCTCAGGAAACATACTGGGTTTGGATAAATACATAGGATTCTGAAAGTAGAACATCACTGAATTTATAGATTGGTTCTTTAGGGTAATACCATGAAATTTAATCTTTTGTATGTTATTTATTAACTATAAAATTGCAAACAAAATATACTGAATAATTTAAAATAATCTACCTCTTGATTCCTATCAGCTTCAGAATAAAGTTGATCAGAAAAATCAAGGTCATCTGATTCAGAAGAAAATGAATTTGAATATTCATTTATGCTAGAAAAAAGAACACTTGAAAATAGGGAATTTGTTCCAATTGAAGACAGCAAATGTGATGACTGGGCAGACAAAGAAGTGAGACCATCTCTGAGGATTAAGCCTGTGTCTGACCATAGGTCAGCAGATGTCAGGGAGCTGTAGCCTGAACCTTCAGTTAACTCGTCAAAGGTAGGGAGACCATTTTCTGTGCTGACAACTTCAAGCGACTGGGCATCAGTCTCTTCTTCTAGGTGGCTCGCATTATAGCTGTTGGCAGAACTGACCAATCTTGTTTGAAAATCTTTCTTCAGCTGTAAGAGTAGCAGAAATGTATAGAGCCAACTAAACAGGTTGATTAAAGTCTGTTGTTACATATAATCTCTTACATGAGAAGCCATAACATGTAAGTGTTATAATTTTGTAACTCTAGGATAGCAACATGGAAAATACATAAGTCATAAATCTAAAGAGCATTATTACATACAGTCTGACCTTGTGCATTTTCTTCTTTTCGCACAAAAACAAAAATCTTTTCCAATTATGATTAGTATGGATGCCCTTCGAATGTATAATATGCGAATATATACCATGCGCCCTGAGCTACCCTGTAAGCACTATGGAGCCTTCGTCAGTTTTTTTTTTAAAAAGAACTATACACTAAAGATACTATTGGCAACAAAAATTGTTGACTATATCGATTCAAGCGTGTCCACCAGCACCTGGCAGGGGGGTGATTTGGCACCCCTGACTCACCTTTGAGCACTAGAGCGATTATGTTCATTTAAAAGTGAGTGACAGGCCAGATACAATGGGTTGCTATAGTCACTCAAAAAATCGAATCAGGCACGTTCACTTTAAGGAGTGCGATAGAATATGGATAAGAAAAGACATTATAGCTTTTCACTAAATTGAATTAGGTGAGTTCAATGGGTTGCTATAGTCGCTCAATACATCAAATCAGGCACGTCCTCCGAGGCCATGTGGTGAGCTATTTAACTTGCCGGACTTTCCCATAAGCGCTATGGCGCTTACATTCATTTTCAAGAGTGCAATAAAATATGGATTTAATGGGGCATTATGATCATTCACTAAACTGAATAAGGCGCATCCGCCAATGCCCCGGTATGGTGAGATTTGGCGCCCAGGGATATCCCTTGAGCACTAAGTTGCCTATGTTCATTTTAAACAGTCTGATAGACTATGGATGAGGTTGGGGTATCCAGCATCCCGGCAGGGCACAATTTGGCATCCTGGGCTATCCACTGAGCACTTTGGCATCTACGTTAGTTTTAAAGAGCACCCTAGAATATTGACAGCGCAAGGCAAAGTTTACATTTAAATAACTCAGTTGTAGAAAACAAGGTCAAACTTCTAAGAATGTAGGATTGGTAACACAATGAAACCCGCTTAAAATATTCCGTCAGATTTTCTTCTCACACCACACCAATGCTCGGGGATGTGCATGTTAGTGGCTAGTGTATATATATATATATATATATATATATATATATATATATATATATATATATATATATATATATATATATATATATATATATATATATATATATATATAAACATATGGGGGGGGGGGCAAAAACTTTTTTTGCAGGGGGAGCCTTATTTTTCTAGTTCTGCCACTGATTATATGAATTTAAGTATAATTGCTTCCAAGCTAAGTTCCCTCTAAGCTGCGCAGTTACGAGGCCGCGCAGTACTTTTTAGCTGCCACGCAGTCATTTTAAAAAAAACATTTATCCTTATATAAGACTTTCAAAACACAGCGCACACAAAATACATGTAGCACGCGATCTTTTTCCCCTTAGATGGAACGTTGCTTCCAAGATGCCATTACAATATATTAAATGAAGATGGGCTTACTGAATGCCTTTAAAATATAATATAATGAAAATACAAATAATTATTTTAAAGAAGCCCCTACAGTGTATAAAAATAATATGGACATAATTACTCAATGTATGTCTTTGAAAATTAGTAAAAAGAATATGGGCATAACTACTTTAAAGATGCCCCAAGTGTGCATATGAGCAAAATTACCATAAAAGAAGCCCCTACACTATACTAAATAAATATTAAAAAAACTTTAATATAAAGACATCATTTATTAAGGGAATATCAATGACTGCCATAAGACTACCCTTCACTGATGCCTGCTATTTCTATAAGTTTTGGTATAGGAACTGTATAATGTCAAAACGAGGATAGATGATTGAGTACTAAAATTCGTTCGCAAATTAATAAATCAGTCAGTCTGCAAACTGATGGGAAGCTGCGATGACACCATGAAAAATATATCGATTTAAATTACAATTACAACAACAAAAAATGTTTTTACAACTCCATTGGATGCCTCCTGGAATGGAAGCTTGGGGCTTGCCCCCCCTCCCTCATTACATTAATAATGTATTTTACTACATTATTAAACACCACATTTTAGGTTTCCTTAGTAATAATGTTTTAAACATAGAAAATTCTAAAACACATACCTGTCTAAAAGGAAAATATGATTTCTTAAATTTAGGTTTCTTGGCTGGAAAATATCTGTGCTTGACAAGTGAAGTAAGTCCATTTTGTTGATATTGTTTCAACAACATTTTGACTCTCTGAAATATGTTAATGAAGTACTGATTAATTTGAACTCATTATTTATCATTAAGCGACAATAAAAATTTGACACTGGTTCAATAAAGTAATTTTCCAAACTGGCAGCATCATGAAAAAAAAAACTACAATAACTTTATGTAACCTACCATTTTAAAGGGTGTTTTTATGAATACAGAAAAGGTTTTCTTCTGAAAAAAAAAATCAAGAATCAGATTTTTAAGCTAAAAAAATAACCACAAAACAATCACAACTTATAATTGCAAATACAGAAAGAAGAACATAAAGCATTTTGTACATTACAAACACAGAGAAAAAGTGCACAATGACTACTGCACACACAAAAACACAAGAAAACACCTCAAACAATATTGTGACATAAAAAAAAACATTCAAAAATGTGTGCACATAGAAAACTGCTCACAAAGAAATTTCTGTAAACAAAACAGGCATAAAGAAAATGGAGCAAACAGATATGCACAAACTAAACATTCTGCATAAAGAAAATAAAAAAATCTATGGCTATTTGTGCTATTAAAAAACCGCATAAAGCATTATCAGTCAAAAAATCATTTAAAATCATGTTGCTTAGGATATAGTGGAAGTCTCCATAAGCTAGGTTTTTGATTTAAACCAGAGCACTGTCATCTTAGGAGTCATCCATAAATATCCTGTTTTTTTTATCATTTTTTCCTCCCCCCCCCCCCCACTCCATCACAAAAAGCTATACCCCCCCCCCCTCCCCAAATGACTCCTCAGCATACAACCCCCATTAAAATTGCATTTTTTTTAAATACTGTTTTTCTTAAAACTGATCTCGGCCAACATAGGGTATATAAATATAAATATATAAATATATAAATAAATATATATATATATATATATATATATATATATATATATATATATATATATATATATATATATATATATATATATATATATACATATATATATATATATATACATATATATATATATATATATATATATATATATATATATATATATATATATATATATATATATATATATATATATATATATATATATATATATATATATACATATATATATATATATATATGTATATATAATATATATGTATATATATATATATATGTATATATATATATATGTATATATATATATGTATATATATATATATATATGTATATATATATATATATATATATATATATATATATATATATATATATATATATATATATATATATGTATATATATATATATATATATATATATATGTCTGTATATATATATATGTCTGTATATATATATATGTCTGTATATATATATATGTATGTATATATATGTATGTATATATATATATATATATATATATATATATATGTATATATATATATATGTATGTATATATATATACTAGCCGGCCCGGCCTAGCCCTGCTCTGGCTTCTGTGAAAAACCTTTCTGTTAAAAACCATTACCTGTGTGTTTAGTAATCGTCATAAACCCGGCATTGCCCACCCAAACCACAACCAACCCAAACCAAAACAACAAAACGCAATTATAAATACAAACGAAAACAAAAACCTAACAACAAACCCAACCACAACCACAAACACCAATACAAACACAAAGAAAAAAACCAATGAAAAAGCAAACGAAAACAAACTAAATCCAAAACCAACCACAAACACAAACCCAAAGAAAAAAAACACAAATGAAAAAGCAAACGAAAACAAACCAAATCCAAACGCTAAACAAACCTACCACAAACACAAATACAAACCCAAAGAAAAAAAACACAAACGAAAACGGAAAAAGAAAGAACAAAAACGAACCAAATCAAAACGCAACCACTAACGCAAACCCAACCTAAACACAAAGAAAACACTAACGCGAACATAAACGCAAAGTGCTCACAGTCTAGCCCAGTAAGGCGCCAAACCAAACACAGGAGGCCCGGGGCCCCAAATAGCACCTTGTCTGGGCGCCAGAGGACGCCTGGATTCGATTCACTTAAAAACTATAGTAACCTTTCTTATCTATACTCTATCGCACTGTTTTAATTGCGAAATTATGCACCATAACGCTCACAAGATAGCCCAGGGCGCCAAATTGAACCCTGGTGGGGCGCCGGCGGACGGGCCTGTATCAATTTAATGAACAATTATAATACTCCAAGCTTATCCGTAAAATACCTACAACATTTGCACTTGATCAATCCCCGATAATTATGTAATTATTTTTTTTTCCCAACACCAAAAACAAAGTAATAAATATTAATTTCCCAACACTTTCAATAGTAGTTTTTTAACGTATAAATATACATACATATATACATATATATTTTTTTTTCTCTGGGGGGGCACTTGATATTTTTGAGGGGGAGCGGTCAACATTTTTCGGGGGGGGGGGGGGGACGTACACTAGTAAAATTATATGTTTGCTATATAAATTCCATCTTGTTCGGGGGAGGGGGGCGGTAGGCTTTCTTCGGAGTATTACCTCATTTACGGATGACACCTTTATCAAACTTATTACATGCAGGGTACAAGTTTTTTGTTTGTTTTAAAATGTCAATACTTAGATGATGTTAAATTCAACATGTATTAGCATTAACCTGACCCCCTCCCCCACCCCTACCTGTGAGGAATCCACATAAGTCAAATTTTTTTGGAACACACCCTCTTCTTCCTCCATGTGGGCAGTGCCGGCGCCAGGTTATTTAGCGCCCTAGGCAGAGGCGGAGCTGCCCATTCCGGCGCCTGGGGCAAACTAT